GACATTTGTAGATGTTCTGTGAACAAATCTCTTTTCAAATCTTTTGCCTCCTTTTTGTGTTTTTATTGTTGAGTTCTTTATATATTTTGGATACTAGACCCTTAACAAAGATACGATGTGCAAGTATTTTCTCCAGTTTTGTAGATCGTTTTTCACTTTTTTGTTAATGTCCATTCAATACAAATTTTTTAAATTTTGATCAAGTTCAATTTATATATTTTTTCTGCTTTTGGTGTTGTATCTAAGAAACCATGGCATAATCCAAATATGAAGATTTATATGTTTTCCTCTAAAAATTTTATAGTTTTAACTGTTACATTTAGTTATTCTTCATTTTAATTATCCTATGTGGTGTGAGGTAGGACCCAACTTTGCTCGTTTGCATACAGGCACCCTGACATCCCAGCACCACTTGCTGAAAAGATCATTCTCCCCCCTTGACTTATCTGGGCACACTTGTTGAGAAAACAGTTGACCATAAATGTATGGGCTTATTTCTGAGATAACTATTACTGAGATCACCTTAAGATTTTTCTTCAAAATGAAATATTGCTTTATTTAATCATTTTTGTCTTTATCGTCATGAGATGACCCAAACTCCACCATGGTCAATGGCTCTTTCACACTCTGTTGGAGCTGACCGGCTATTGTTTTGAATCCAGCAGTGAGAGGGACAGATGGTTGACTTCTCATGCTGTCCCTTAGGCTTTTCATCAGGTTTATGCACGTGCCACACGAGTCCTATCTTGTTCTATGTTTAGGAAAATCGGCATCTGAAGTGGCTCACAGTCTAAATGTTTGCTGTCCCTGGAACTCTGGTGGGTTCCCAGTACTCAGCTTGCTGCCTGTCTTGTTTGGTGGAGGCCCCGGTCTCTGCAAAGTGACGTGAACACCACTTCACTCGGCTGAATTTATGTGTTAAGAACAAGTCACTGTCTTAATAACCATCGTTTTCCCCTCTTCCCCGCCCATAGCAGCTGCTTATCCTCCCAATTCAAAGTTTGCTTCCCCAAGATTCTTGCCTTCTTTCATTTGTCTTGAAGGCCCATCAGTTCCCCCTTACTTCCAGCTTGTTGCTACTTGAGCTAAAGAAAATACAGCCCATGGAGTTGAGATGTTTGCTTTTCTAAATGTCCTGTATCTTCTCTACATTCACATTTTGCTTTTCTGTGCACAGGCTCTGGAACCAGCAGCCGACTCCGGCGTACACCGGCTGAACCGCCTCCGCAAGGTGTAGGCTTGCTCACCTGTAACACCGGCGGAGCATAGGAGCCGCCTCGTGGGATTGCGGAGGGCATTGCCTGACTTAATGCTCATGAAGTGATGAAAAAACCACGTTTGGCCCTTAGAATATCCGCGTTTAACACATGAATACACTTGTCTTAAAAGCTGAAATTCTGTAGCTGAGATGCTATGCCTCATTTCAGTTCCCTTGCACAAATATTTTTAAATAGAAATGTTCTCCTCACTCATGCTGTTTCTGGCTCTGCTCCCCCTGCCCCGTCCTTGGATTCCTCTGCCTCCTGAGCTCCCTCAAGCACTACGCAGCTCTTCTACGAAGAGCTTGCAAAGCTGGGGCTGTCATCCTATCCTTCTTCCCTTCCTGGGGACCCCACAGCCCCTTTCAGAAAGGCTGTGCCTTGCCCCGTCTGAAAGACGGCGAGAAGATTCATCCCATGCTCATGTCCACTCGAAGGTGACCTCATGGCTGCCTCTGGCACTGGACCAGCGGAGAGAATGCATCTAACACACGGCCCACAGATAACACACGGCCTTAGTTAACCACACAGCAAATCTCTCTTCATCCCATGAAACACTCGTCCAAGCCCCAGACCCTTCTGACTGGCTCCCTTCTGAATGTGTCTACCCCAAGCTGACCTCATTCGAAAGCAGATGGATGGGAGTCCCAGAAGATCTTTGCCTCTGGTATTCCGAATCTGCAGGTGACACCAACATTCCCAGCCACCCAGGGGAAAACCTGCAGGCATTCTGGACACCTGCCTCTCCCCACCCTCGTCAAACGCTGGCCAGACTCTGCAACTTCCGTTCCCTGAGCAGCAATTGAACTCACCCTGCCTCCAGCTGTCTAACTGCCCTGGCTGGTGACTCTCTCACCGTTCCCGCTGCTCACCAGTGTGACCTTTCACAAGGGCAGCTTGACTTGCTGAAAATTCCTCCAGAGCTCTGGCAATTTTCTGGGGGGAATATGCAATTTCCATCATTTTGGCTGCAAAGCCCTACTCGACCTAACTACCACTGGCTCAGGATTCAGCTCTCTCTCCTGCTGACTCCTGTTCTTAGACCTTCCCACTTTTTTCTTCCATTCTCAGTCTCCCCATCTCTGCTGCGCCATTCCCTTAGCCTGTACTCCCCCACCACCACCACCCGTCTCTGCCTTTTTCTGGTTTCCTTTGTCCGACCCCGGCCATCGCTGCTTCCTTTGGAGGCAGGTTCGCCTGCAGGGGCGTCTAGTGCTTCAGCCGGGGGTGGTCTGTGCTCATGACACACACCCGCCTGGCCCTGCCCGACTGCCTCGGCCCGGGACGGCTCTCATCAGAGCGCCGGTAGCCTCCACGCGGGATGAAATGTTCTGTCTTGGCTCCCTCTACTCTGCATCCATCATTGCTCACCCGTCTGAGAGACAGTCTTTCTCAGTTTTGTTGACTTTGAAGAAAACTCCCAAATAATGCATCTTCTAGCCCACTTCTCCTTCCTTCATAGGCCACACTAGCATTACCCAGCACCCAAGTTAATGCTGCCACCCCTATTTGGTTTCAAATATGGTTCCACTCCTGTGCTCTTAGCTTCCTGACTTACATTTCCAGTCTGGACTTGTCTTCTGAGTCCCTATCATAACCCGTGTCCCACTCAGCACCCCTGTTTGGACAAGCTGTCAGCTCGTAGAACTGATCGGGTCTCAGCCGCCTTGGATAGCCCCACCCCCAGCACGCAGACCTGTGCACCCACAGGCACACACAGACGTGTGTACACACTCACAGATGGATATTCACACACACAAACATGCGTGCACACACCTAGCTGATCTCCCCAATTCCCCGTGTCCGTACTGCACACCCACGTGCAATTCGCTCCTGCTGGGAACCCAGGGGTTCATCTTGACATGCCCCTTCCCCTGCCCCACATCCATCCATCACCAAGCCCTGCGGATCTGTTCCCCAAATATGTTTCGAATGCACCCACTCTTCCGCCTGCTGGCTTGTGACCAGCCGTATCCAAACCATGCTGTCCCTTGCCTGGACTTCTGCAACAGCCTCTTGAGTGACCTTCCACTTCTTGCTTCTTTTGCCAGTCCATAGCTCACATACGACCAGAAGTGACTGCTCACGCCACTTCTCTTCTTAAAACCCCCTGCACTTAGAATACGGCGTACACTAGGGCAGCCCGACTTGAAAAAGCTAAACCCTCAAAGGAGAACAGGGCGTCCACCTTCAGTAGCCTGAGTGACAGAGAAGGGTTGTGCTCCACTTAGGGGACGGAGCAAGTGCAAAGGCCCTGATACCTGAAAGCTTGGAGCATTAAGGCCAATGGATCTGCAGTGAGCCAGCAAATACTAAGAAACGGTGATGGAGAAGTTAGCAAAGGCTGGGCCATGCAGGTACTATCATAATTATTTCTAAGTTTACATATATAGATATATATAGATATATATACCTCATATATAGTATACAAACCGATGCATACTCTATCTTGCCTACGGGCCGTAGCCCCGCAGAGAAGCTGCCATGCCTGTTCTGTTCAGTTCGCTCCCGGGCCCAGCAGAGTGCCTGCCACGGGGTAGGTGCTAAATCCTCAGGGAGCGTATGAGAGAAGAAGTATCTTCAGCCTCCGAGCCAGGCCACGGGGCTGGCAACTCCCCCAGATGTTGTGCCCGTCCCTCTTCTAAGAACTTCGTCTTTATCTAGCTCAGTGATTGGTTCTCAACCAGGGGGCCATTCTGCCTCCAGGGGACATGTGTTAATATGTGGAGACATTTTTAATTATCACAATTACGGGGAAGGGGGTTTGTAGACAGCTGGTTAGATATGGGCCAAGGAGGCTGCTAAACATCTTAAGTATACCGGACAACCCCTTCCCCTGACAAACAATTATTCAGCCTAAGATATCCACTGAGCCAAGGTTGAGAAGCTCTGGTCTTGCTAGTTCTACCTGTCCTCCAAGCCTGTGTGCACATCACCTGGGGACGTTCTCCTTCCTCGTGAGCCAGCATGAGACTGCCCTCCGCTCCGCTCCCTACCTCCTTGTGGGGTGAAGCCCTCTCCCTTGCGATTGGCTGCTCTGCCTGTCTCTCACTGGGGGCGGGTATATGTTTCCTCAGCATATACCCAGTGGACCACCCACGCATTTGAAATGAATGCAGCCCCCTTAGCTAGGAATAAATAGGAGGGCAAAGACGGATTTTGTAGCAACATTTTAAAACATACAGTTGACATGTCTGAACTCGTGGGTCCGCGGGACTCAGCCAGCCCCCGTCTCCGCCTGTCTCCAGGTGTCTGTGCCAGTTTGTAAGCAACAGAAACGGCAATTTCCTGGGGGTCCAACCTAATAACACGGTTCACTCTGTTAGTCATTGCCTCGAATTCTGACTTATTCAAGTTGATCCCACTGAAGACAGACATAGAACTAGGGCGTATGAAGGGTTCCTAACCATGAAAAAATAGAGCCAAAGCTTCATTTGCAGTTGGCTCTCCGGTGAGTCATGACTGCTTGATCCACCAGCAAAAATAAAACTCCGCGCCCAGACTCCTGACCCTCAGATGTCCGCCTGCCGCGCGAAACGCCCGAGGCCTCTCCTCGTCGATTCAGGCTTTGAAATGGGCTCTGCTCCAACTGCCGGGTCCTGGAAGGCGCCTGCCCCCTCCTCAGGGTCCTCCCAGCTCCGCGCTCAGCGGCTCCCTCCACGCGCCCTTGTCCCGTGTCCGGTGGCTCTGGCCCTGGCGGCTGGGAGGGAGCGCTGGGAGGAGAGGGCACACCACCTGGGCTCACTGCTGCCGCAGCGACGGGCGCGGCCTGCTGCGGCGCTTCGGACACTCACTGCTGCCGGAAGGGCTCTGTTCTTCCTCCGCCTGCTCCTGGTCCTGCGCCTGCCTTCTCTCCAGCATCTTCTCGAAGAAGGCCTGGCAGCTGAAGCCCTCCTGGACCCCGAACTGCACGTGCTCCAGCAGCGCCTCCAGCGTGAGGAAGACGCGGCAACAGGCCACGCAGCGCAGCCCGTAGTCCGTGGTGACCAGCCAGTCCGGGGTGTCCTGCAGCTCCTGCAGGCAGCTCTCCAGAGGCCCCAGCAGCTCCGCGCCGTCCTGTTCCGGACAGTCCTCGTCCTTGCTGGCTTCCGGGTCCCAGTAGGGGCCACTGTGGGAAGCCACCTCGAAGGGGGAGTATTTCCTCCTCTGCCTCCTGGTGAACTCGGCCTCCCGCACGCGGGGCTCCCGGCTGACCGGCTGGAAGCCGGCCTCGGTCTCCCAGGCCACGGCCACGCTCTGCACCGTCCGCACCAGCGTGTAGAAGGCGCTGGCGCTCTGCTGGCCCGGGTCCTCGTCGCTGCACAGGCAGGAGTAGCAGGACTGGGACTGGGAGGACGGAGAGCTGTACCAGCTCAGCAAGCCCCTGGCCCTGGAGGCAGAGCAGACGTCCTCCTGCTGGGCAGCGGCTGGCCCCGGCCGTGGACACTGCGCCCCCCTCTCCACAGCACCTGAGAGGCGGGAGATTTGCATCAGTGTCCCCATGGATCAGCGCCCATCCCGCCTCAGGACTGCAGTGGGGCTGGCTCCAGGGGCCCTTGGGCAGGTCCCATACCTCCCTGTGCCCGTTTCCTCATAAAACAGGGAGAGTACAAGGCTGACCTCCTGGGGCCGTGATAGGCATCAGATAATTTATAGACAGGTGCATGCATAGGTTATGGATATGATGATAAAGATAAAAAATACATGAATGTAATCACCCAAAATGACCAAACCCCAAAAGGCCATCAGCTGATGAACAGATAGATGGTACATCTCTACAGTGACAGCTCATTCACTGCGGCGTGGAAACATCAAAGAGTCCCGACTGCATTCTCTGCAGCGAAAGCTGCGGAGTGAAATGGTCACCCCGAGTGTGATCCCAGAGAGAGAATATTCCAGAAAAGGTGAGACTACAGGGAGAGAGAACAGGTCAGGGTTACCAGTAGCTGGGGCAGCAGGGGAGCTGACCGTGAAGGGTCACAAGGAAACTTTGGGGGGGGGGTGCTGAAAATGTTCTGTGTCGTGATTGTGGTAGTGGTTACACAAAGGTACATGTCAACATTCTTCAAACTGTAGACCTAAAATTGGTGAGGTCTGTGCCTGTGAAGGCAGCTCAGTAAAGCCAATGTGAAAAGCGAGGCATTGGACGTGCTTTGGCCAGGCCACTGAACCCCAGCTCCCTCTCTGGTGTCTGGGATGTGTCTCCATCTTATCCCAGGAACCATCCTGCCTTTACCTGGGAACACTCATTGTATCCCCTCCCCGTGTAAGTGTTGCCATGTTGCTGTTTTATTCAATTACTGACAGTATTACAGGTGTCCCCCATCTTCCCCCACGTTGCCTCCTCCACTCAGCCCCCCCCCCTCCCAGGCCTTTCCCACGCTGTTGTCTGTGTCCAGGGCTACGCATATATGTATGTAAGTTCTTGTTAACCTCTTCCCGACCCCTGGCCCCTTCCCTCTGAGATCTGTCTGCTCCAGGCATCCATGCCTCTGGGCCTATTTTTAATTTTTAATCTTCACCCGAGGATATTTTTCCATTTATCTTCAAACAGAGTGGGAGAGAGGGAGGGAGGGAGGGAGAGAGAGAGAGAGAGAGAGAGAGAGAGAGGAGAGAGAGAGAGAGAGAGAGAGAGAGAGAGAGAGAGAGAAATTGATATGAGAGGGGCACATCGACTAGTTGCCTTCCTCATGATCCCAAACAGGGCCAGGGACTGAACTGCAACCAAGTTTTATGCCAGAATCGAACCCAGAACCCTTTGGTCCGAGGGCCCACTCTCTAACCGCTGAGCCAAACCAGCCAGGGCTGGACCTATTTTTTTGTCAGTTTATTTTGTTCATTACATTTCACATATAAGTGAGATCATGTGATATTTATTTTTTTCTAACTGGTTTATTTCACTTAGCTTAATAATCTCCAGGTCCATTAATATTGAAAAAACCCTTAAAAGTGGCAGTGTTTGATTCCCACCTGACAGATTAGCAAATTGAGGCACAAAGCATTTATTTATATTTTATTTACTTTAATTTATTGGGGTGACATTAGTTCACAAAACCATGAAGGTTTCAAGTATGCAACTCAACAAACCTCATCTGTACAGGGACCGTGCACCCATCACCCAAGCAAAGTCTCTTTTCGTCCCCATTTCTCGCCCTTTGTTTGCCCAGCACCACCCAGCCCCACCCCCTCTCCCGCCAGCTGTCACCACACTGTTGTCTGTGTCTATGTGAGATATGTATGTATATACGATTTCTTGCTTAATCCTTTCGAGGCACAGAAAATATAACTGACTGGTGGTGCCGGAGCTGGGCCGTGCGGGTCTCTGCCCCCAAAGCCTGGGTGGTACTCTGCCAGAGTGGGCTGTGCAGGCTCTGCCTGTGTGTCACCTTTAGGTGATGCACATTTCAGAGAACTCTTCAATTTGACATCCTAGATGAATTTCAATCAATTTATTATAAAGAAATTTTTCTACCTCTGCTGAAATCAGGGTTGACAGGACTGACATGCCAACTATTTTTTTAATGCACATTAAAACAAAATGAGGGTTCCGCCAGTGTGGCTCAGCAGTTGAGCGTTGACCCTGCACCAGGAGGTCGCCGGTTCGATTCCCGGTCAGGGCACGTGCCCAGGTTGTGGGCCCGATCCCCAGTGGGGGGCGTGCAGGAGGGGCCAATCTGTGTTCTCTCTCACTGATGTTTCTCTCTCTCTCCCTCTCACTTCCTCTCTCTCTAAAATCAATAAAGGAAAAAAAAAAAGAAAACATAATGAGGGGCCCCACGATGCTTGCGACCAGGGCAGCAATGGGCAGTGGCAGTTCGTCCCAGGTAACCTCCTGAACCTGTCCCCAAGGCCCCCTTTTCTCTGACATCTTAGAGAGCCAGCAGCCCAGCCCGGGGTCATTTCCTCACCAGTCCCCCTCCTGTTACCCTGGGCCCTTCCTTGTTTCACTGTCCCCAGCTTTAATAAACGTCCTCTAAAATAAATATATATCTGACTAACATTGTACAGCTTCCTCTTCATGGATCCTGAAATCACCTCCTGTACTCAGAACATTGGCCGCGTTCATGTGCATTGCTATGGCCATACAGGGACTTGGTAGGGCTCTGAGGGCTGCCCTGCGGCCCACCCCTCCCTTTTAGGACCCCCCCCCCCCAGGGAGCACACCTGCCTGCCGTCTCCAGCTCTTCAGCCCAACCTACCTGGCCAGGACACTTCCACGCTGTCCTCCGTGGACTCTGGGCTGGCTAAGACGAGGGTGGCCTCATCCGCTGGGGACTGTTTTCTGCCGTGGTCCACGAAGTGGCGTTTCATGACGTGACGCAGGTGTTCAGCGTTCCAGCTGTTTGTTGGGAGTTGGCTTGGGCTGTGCTAAGCCCTCCACTGGCCCCAGCCTGAGTGGCCACTGGGGCTCCAGGGGTCACTAGGATCCTGGCTTTATTCTGTTACCTCATCAGTGACGTTGGTCTGCTCTGTGACCCGGCAGAGACAGAGACCCCGCCAGGATGGCAGGAGAGGCTTCTCCAGGAGCTCATTCCCCTCAGGGACCTCTTCTGCCTTGTTTATTACCAGGGCACACAAACACAAACTCGAACACACAACACATAAAGACAAAAACACCTGTGCATACCCACATAGACAATTACACACATATAAACACACATATACTCATACCAACAAACACATACATGTCAGACACACGCACTCAAACATACATAAACACACACAGTTAAACACACATGCACAAAAACATACACACATACTCACTCAACCACTCACAGTCCAAGGTGTGCGTGTACATGACCAGCTGGTGTGGCTCAGCGGTTGAGCGTGACCCATGCACCAGGAGGTTGCTGGTCCGATTCCTGGTCTGAGCACAGGCCCAGGGTGTGGGCCCAATCCCCAGTGGGGGGCATCTGGGAGGCAGCCAATCAATGTTCTCTCTCATCAATGTTTCCATCTCTCTCTCTCTCTCCCTTCCTCTCTTTCTCAAATCCATAAAAGAAAAAACAATGTTTTAACGTTTACAAAGATGTAAACAATAATATAAACAGGGCTCCTTTAACATGAAGCCGGGCTGCCAGGCCAGAGGAACTGCCTTGCACGACTTCTCCAACCTCGGTATGCTAAAAACTGGGCAAAAAACCTTTGACCTGGGCTGAGGGCAACATTGTGTATCAAAAGAACTGTTTGCAAAGATAACAAGAAAGCAGACATCCTGGCTACTGGGCTGATGACTAGGGACTGAGAATTCAAAACATTGCTCAGAATTAGCATCAGTGTATTACGATGGAATTTCCCTCCTTTTCTCATGAATGCCCATTGCTTTGTCCCCTAATTGGGGCGTTAGTGGGGCTTCTTTCTGAATTAATGATTCCTGAATAGCTATTCTTATTGATCTCAGATAGGATCAAATGGCTCTCACTTTGAAAGGCCTTTTTATTTTTAAGTTAGAAAAGGAAATATAAGTTAACATTTGTAATGAAAGGGTAGCTTTCCTAAACTCTCGTGATATCAATCTTCCCAAGCATCTTTGAATCTTTGCCACCCTTTTTTTTTTAACTTTATTGCTTAAAAAAATCTGTTTCAGTTTGCATGTCTCTGCCTTTTAGCGAAACTGAAATGAACAGTCAGTGAAGGAAATGAGCAGGCAGTTCCCAGGCGAAGAAATGCAGAAGTCTGATAAACATACCAGATGCTGGACCTCCGATCATAAGAAAACTGCAAATTACAAAATCGTGATATACATAATGTAATTTTCACCCATCAGATAAGCAAGAGTTAAAAATATGAACAGTACTAAGTCCTGGTGAGGAAGGACAGGAGGAAATAAATATTTTTATGTTTTTTTGGTAACAGTGTAACTTGCCTTTCTCAAAGGGAATCTGGTAGCACTCATTAAAATTTAAATCGGCAGTGTTCTCTCTCTCTCTTTCTTCTAATGAAGTATACAAGTTTACTGGGTACAATTCATAGCACAGGGAATTACTCATTGTCATCTACATCTGTGGCTTGCTTTTTTAGTCCACTTTCCTCTTCTGCTGACAGGACCCTGATTTCCAACTCGGGTATTTAACCTCTCAGCCATTCCAGGGATGTTGAGCGGAATCGCAGCTCCAGAGATGACCCCACACGGGTTGAAGTCAATCCCATTTTCCTGGCTACAATGATGGTTCAGAGTTGAGCACGAGCTCAAATCTAGACATTAGGAACAAACCCAGGACTTAAGCAAGAATAAGGAGAGACCCCTTTCTTCCTCTGGGGAACGGGCCTGCTACAGCGAGGCCGTGTGAGGGCCCCCCTCAGGGCCCAGGGCACCCCTCAGGGCCAAGGGCCCCGTGGGGCTAAGGAGAAGCGGACCCTGGAGAAGGGCACTTCACTTGTCATCTTGTTCCCGAGAAACACCCACATTTTGTGCTATGTGGGTAATATAGCACATAGAGAAATATTTATTGCAGTATCGCTCATATTAGAAAAAATAGGAGACGTTGCAAAGATCCATGAAACCAAAGAAATGTTTAAATAAATTACAACATAAGCAAACTGTGGAATGTTACGCTGCAATAAAAAGGAAAATCTGCATGTACTAATAAATGAATTCATACTACGTAAAAGAGATGCTAGGGGAATTCCACCTATGTAAAAATTAAACTAACCCCTCCCCCGAAAAGCCCCACACCGCGTTCTGTGGCATCCGTGTACGAGAAGGCACACAGATCTGCAGAGATGGGAAAGGGGTGAACTCGGCAAAGGGAAAGAAGAGCAGGTGGGTTTGTGGGAGACTGTCCTTTCCCGCCCCTCCCCACCAGCGCATCTCCTGTGCCAGGGGCTCTTCTCCCAGCTCCAGGGGGCGCCCCTGTGCCGAGAAAGACAAGGCCCCTCCTCCTGAACCCGGTGGCCACACCTCCACCAATGGGATGCAGAGGAGTGGTCAGGGCTAGGTCCTGGAAGGTTTTCTCTTGTTCTCCCTCCCTCCCTCCCTTTCTCCCTCCCTCCCTCCCTTTCTCCCTCCCTTTCTCCCTCCCCCTCCCTCTCTCTCCCCCTGTCTCCCCCTCTCTTCCTCTCCCTTCCTCCCTCCTCCCTCCCTCCCTCCTCCCTCCCTCCCCCTCTCCCCACCCCCGGCCTCAGCCATGCTGTGAGGAAGCCCAGGCCCCATGGACTGTCCCAGCCCACAGCCTGGGCAGAGGCCCCGCCAACCACCAGAGGCACGAGTGAACGAGACTTCAGGTGACCCCACTTCCAGCTGGGGCCCAGAGGTCTCAGAGCAGAGACCGGCCATCCCTGTGGACCTGAGCCGTCTGCCCTGCTCAATTCCTGACCCTCAGGAGCGAGCACAGCAAGGGGGTTGCCACACGTCCCCAGCTATGTGGTCTGCGCACCGTGGTTCCGTGGGCGGTGCGGTCCTTGCCCTGTGTACTGTGTTCCCCGGAGGCAGCCCACTGGCCAGCGTCTGCCCTGGAGCCTTCCTGGCCTCGCCTGTTCAGCCCCACTGTGCATGGTGGCAGGTACAGGATTATGGGCCCGCGCCCCGCCCCCCGCCCCCAGGGGAAACTAACTCACAGTGTTCACATAGTTACTTTGTCTCTCACCTTTTCTAGTCACAACACCACTTGCCAAGGTTCCCTGGGGCTGCCCTTCCCCCTCCAGACTCCATAAATTCTCTCATCCTTGCCACACCTGCGGGTAGGTACTGCTAACCCTCCTTTCCGGGCGGGGGGGCAGGATGGGAGGGGCTGCTTGGCCAGGCTGTCTACTGTCCCTGGGGGGCTCACAGCACAGCCCCACCCTCGAGGACAATGTCCTCCCCCCTCACGTGGCCCCTGGGCTGCTCCTGGCCCGGCCACGGGGGCCCTCTGTCCCAGGCCCTCCTCTGCTCCGTGCAAGCCTTTAGCCGGGCCACCCAGACGGGTGCCCCCCAGGGGAAGGGGTGGCTGTGGCCCAGGGCACCCGCTCCCGGGCTCCGGCGGGGTCACAGGCCTGCCAAGAGCTTCTGTCTCACAGCCACAGCGAGCAGGGCCCTGCGAAACGCTGAAAGGACCGACCACCAGCCCGGCTGCGCCCTGGCTCCTGCCCGCCCATTTCACACACAGCACGTGAGCCCACACACAGCGCGTGAGCCCGCACACAGCGCGTGAGTCCGCACACAGCACGTGAGCCCGCACACAGCACGTGAGCCCGCACACAGCACGTGAGCCCACACACAGCACGTGAGCCCGCACACAGCACGTGAGCCCAGACCTCACCAAGACGGCTGGCCGGTTCGCCTCAGGGCTCAGCGCATCGCCCGAGGAACAAAGGGTCTCGGGTTTGAGTCCAGGTCAAGGGAACGTACTGGGGTTGCAGGTTCGAAACCCAACCCTGGTCAGGGGCCTGTGGGTGGCAACCAATCAATGTGTCTGCCTCACATCGATGTTTCTCTCTCTCTCTCTCTCCCTCCCTCTCTCTCTCTCTCTCTCTCTCTCTCTCTCCCTCTCCCTCTCTCCCTTCCACTCTATCTAAAAATCAATGGAAAAATATCCTTGGTTGAGAATTGACTAAAAAATAAAAATAAGAAGGTTGTAGTATTTTCTAGTCTTAATTTTTTTTCCAAAACTCTTCCAGAAATGCCACCTCCTGTTTTTCTTCCTGTCACTCCTCAGATTAGCTTGTGCTCGATCAAGGCTGCAGGGAGGATCAGTCACTCAGCCAGAGCCGCGCGGGCCCAGCATTAGCCTGTCCCCTGGCCTGGCCGAGGAGCATGGTGTCCCGGCGGCGCTCCGGCTGTGGCCTTTCTATGGCCTGGCTGCTGGGGGCAAGTGTTTGAAATGGAGACACTCTTTCCTCCACGCTGGAAAGGGGAGGGACTAACCACTCTGCGCCCTCCTCCCCGAAGAACCCCTGTGGTCAGACCTAACAGGTGAGGGAGGCGGAAGGGCGCTGCCCAGCTGCCGGCCAGCCGGTGGCTCTGCTGGAGAGTCATCCCCGCGAGGCCACTCTGGGGGCTTGCTGACAGCTCTGGGCTCAGCCTGCAGAGAAGCCGCCAGGAGCCAGCAGGCACGTGAGGATCACAGAAGGGGACTCTTCTGTGGGTTGTTTTCTGTTGTTTCTCGTGACGACTTGGAAAGAAGTGAGTCAGTGGACCAGGAGGATCAGCCGCAGAGAAATGTGATAGGGAGCGCGCCCCAGGCCCCCGGGCCAAGGCAAAGGGAGCCTTGCTTTTGTTTGTCTTCCATTTAATAACAGGCTGCCTCTCCTCAGTGGTTTGTTTGGAGCTGTCCCAGGGTTTTGACCTTAACCTCAGGGCGCCCACACAAATAGCCTAGGCTTTCTCTGTC